GTTCCTCACAGTGTTCCTCTCACTGTTCCTCAGACTGTTCCTCTCACTGTTCCTCACACTGTTCCTCACACTGTTCACACACTGTTCCTCAAACTGTACCTCACACTGTTCCTCTCACTGTTCTTCTCACGGTTCCTCACACTGTTCAACACACTGTTCAACACACTGTTCCTCTCACTGTTCCTCAAACTGTTCCTCACACTGTTCCTCTCACTGTTCCTTTTGTAAACCTGCCCGAGGTCTGGCTGACAGCTTTTACCCAACATTTGCGTAAACATATGCATCACCCCGGCAGTTTGTTTAAATTGTGATCGTCTTTGTTGTCTTAATTGTTTATCAGTGTTTCCTTTCTCCATCTCTTCTCCTCTGTTGTGTAGCTGCCACCGACCTTTGGGAGAGCACCGGACAGGAAGTGGCCTCTGCGCTCCGGGCTATGGGTTTGCCGATTGGGCCGGTGGTTACCATGGAACCAGGCAGCAAAGGCAGGGCTCGGGAGGCGCTGAACGAAATCAGAGAAGCCGACAAGGTCAAAGGTCAGAGCTAAGAGATGATCGTTAAGTTGCATCCCTGAACTGAACACATCAGATCAGAGAACTTTTTATTTCACCTTCAGTGGTCATCATGTGCATGAGCTCTGTCCTGATTGGTGGAGAGGATCAGAGGGAGGTACTGCTGACCGCCCTGGAGATGGGGATGGTTTCCAATGGTTACGTGTTCATTCCCTACGACGCCCTGCTGTACGCGATGCCCTATCAGGTAACGACCAACAAGTTCTCAAGGAGGTTTTATTCCATTTTCTCCGATCGTCAAAAAGAAAACTGAGTCAAGCAAACTTTTCTTATTTACCACCCATACACCACCCCACTGCCTTTACATATTAATCATGACATGTTTAACTAAAGGCAGAGTTCTGATTGGTTCCCTCCCTCTCTGTTTTATCCAATCAGCACACAGTCTTCAACCAGCTGACCAATAGCACGCAGCTTCGTCACGCCTATAGTGCCGTGCTGACTGTTACCATGGCATCCGACCAGAGTTTCTATGAAGCTTTCCGCGAGGCTCAAATGAGCCGAGAGATTCACTCGGGTGTCTCCGCCACAGAGGTAAACAAACAAACAACAACAAATACGGGCTTTAATGTTCTGATGGATTCAGAGGTAAACAAGTAAATAACGTGTAAACAATGTGTACGTCCCCAGTAAACGAGAGAATCTAATGTGACAAAGTGTTGTCCTGTGTCTGCAGGTGTCTCCTTTGTTTGGGACTATTTTCAACATGGTCTACTTCGTTGCAAAGGCAGTGGAAGAGCGCCGTCAGGCGGGGAGTGGACACTGGGTGACGGGCAATCAGCTCATGAAATCAGATGGAGGCTTTGATTTTCAGGGTTTCAATCAGGTCACACAGATTTCAGCACTCGCTAGCTGAGTAACTAACTAGTTGCTGCTTTCAGTGTCAAAGCTGAGATAAAAGACGTTCTCCTCGTTTCCTTCAACAAACTGCTCCAGATCAGATAGACTCGTGACACTCAGAGGGAGAGAGGCAAAAACTACAACAAGGCGCACTTCACGGTTTTTAAAACTATGACCTAAAACTCAAGTTTTGTTTTGTGGCAGTGAAGAGTTACTCATGACTGAACCTTCTAGTGTCAGATGACTCTGATCTGGGAACAGTTCGTTCTGATTAAGTTAGACAGACTAATTGAGTCTCTGTGTCCACAAACACAAAAGAGTTTTAATAATTGTTTTTCACCACTTAATACAACATGATCACATCTATCCTGTTGTTAAGTGTTTGCATAAAGTTCTCTAAGGAGCTTGGAAAGATTTTCAGTGCACACTGAGAAGAATAGAAACCTCAACACTGAAGTTTACCGGAAACCGACACACATGGACCAGAACCTTTGACTCTGAAGTTCTCCAGAGGCAAAGAGGTAAAGAACTAATCATTTGACCCTGATGACCCAGGGTGAGAGCTAAAACCTGCAGGACCTCGAGGCCTGGAGTTTGAGACCCCTGAATTAGAGGATCAATAATGGGTCAACAACCCTCTTAAGGGACACTCCCACAGACGCTTTTCTTTCCAAGCTCCTTAGACCATGATGACCTGGATGACTAAGAAACTTCACAGACATTTAGAATAAAGTTAATAAATTAATAATTTCTGAACCACAGAATTTGATTTGATCTTTTTTGTTTTGCATCATCATCATTTTCATCATGTCCTCACCTTAAACTCAATGGTACAATCAGCTTCTGTCTTCTTCCCTATCAGGTGTTGTATGGAGGTACTGAGGGGCGTGGCCTGCAGGCCAGCTACGTAGTGTTGGACAGCGATGGCGACCGCCTCGTCCCAACACACTCACTCTCTCCGACGCACACCGACGGGACGACCGGAGGTCTGAGACCGCTGAGCCGTTCCTTTGTTTTCCCGGGAGGAAAACCCCCCTCAGCCAGCTTCTGTTGGTTTAATCCAGATGAGGCCTGCAGTGGAGGTGTGTTTACTGACCCACAGAGAGGGTGGGAGCTTTGTGCTTCAGTTCAAATGAGGTCTTAATTACACCTATAGTTTCTGTATGTGTCGTGATTTAGTGTTCATGTTGACAAAAGGTTGCTGTCTGGCATGGCTATAAATGTGGAAACCTCTCCACTCCCTGCAGGTATGGGCGCTGTAACTGTGCTCTTCCTCTTCCTGTTGCTCTGCACTCTGCTTGGAGGCCTTTTCTTTTGGAACAGGTTAACACACAGGCTTAATCTCACACACTCCTCTCTAACGTACCTGGTGCTTATTCTGCTTTCAGTCTGGTTCTCAGTCATCATGGTAGTCTAAGAAGCTTGGAAAGAAAAGCGTCT